CCCATCTTTAAAAAAAAAAAAAAAAAAAAAAAAAAAACAGCGTCTGGCCATGTTACCCAGGCTGGTCTTAAACTCCTGGGTTTAACCAATCCTCCCACCTCAGCCTCCCAAAATGCTGAGATTACAGGTGTGAGCCACTGCACCCAGCCTATACTGGGAGTTTTGAGCTACCAGCAGAGGAAAGGAAGAGGTGGGGTTAGGCAGAGTTAGATGTGCAGAGGCTGAGGCCCGGGAGGATCAGGACACATCAGTGTTGGAGTCTGGCTGGGGCCATCGTGCTGATGGGGCCGGGGGCAGATGGAGGCTGGATTGTAGAGGTTGTTTGGGAGATAGATGGAAATGGGAATATAGTTGGGAATCAGGGAGTGGGTTGAGACTGAGGGCAGATGAGGGTCGAGGTGTTGGGATGTAAGTTATGGGCTAGAATATCGTCAGGGGTTGGGGTCTAGGTTGAAGGTCAAGGTGTAGCCCGGGATCAGAGTATAGGTGAGAATTGAGAAATAGGCATCGTTTGGGGTATAGGTCGAGGGTTGGGGTACAGATCAGGGAGTGGATATAAGTGGGGGGTGGCCTGCCGAGGAGGGTGAGTATGGCGGGACCCACTCACTTTCAGGGCCGCGCACACAGATGCCATGCACGAAGGCCAGGTGCACGTGGGAGACCTGGCTCATGAGGCTGGCTGTCTCATAGAAGGCCTGTGGGGACCAAGCAGGTCAGGTGGGTGCAAAGCTGATTCCTCCCATCCCAACCGGCCACCTCCTCCGCAGACACACCCAGGCCTGGCCCTGGCCACTCACCAGGGCAATGTCATGGTGACTAGGATCCAGCACTTTGAGGACCACTCGCAGCTCCTGCCCACAGTCCCTGCTGGGCCTGAGGGGGACCTCGTCGTCCATCTTGCCCTCCTCAGGGCCCCCACTGCCCTCCACTCGCAGGCGGCCCTCATACACATTGGTCCTTGTGCCCTGGCCCAAGTGGGACAGCTGCGGGACCATGTGGCACAGAACACGGTTGTGGCAACAGTTGGCAGCTGATCTCTCAGGGCCCCCAGCACCCACATCCCCAGGGGCCCTGCCCTTGCCCCAGCCCCTTCCCTGCCCCCACCTGGGTGATCTCCTTCTGGTCGACCCGGTGGAAGCTGAGCTGGCTGAGGTTGAGTGGCCTGGTGCTGGCCAGAGCCCCCCGCATGATGATGAGGTTGGAGGTTTCTGGGGGCAGGTGTGAAGTCATGGAGGGCTGGGCTGGGAAAGGGATGCCACACCCCACCCAGAGGTCCCCCCATCGTCATACCTCCCGGTTGGGGCAGGCAACAGCGACGCAGAGAGAAGCAGTCATCTCCCGCTTTCAGTGAGCAGCCCCGCAAAGCAGCCCCAAGTTCCCGAACGCTAGAGAAGGACCGGCCCCAGCCCTCCAGCATGAAGGCCCCAGCCTGCTGCTCAATGGGGAACTTCCGGAGCTGCAAGCACTGCGTGCCATCTGGTGCCTGGCAGGAGGTGGCAGAGGTGGAAGCAGTGAACAGGGCTCCAGGCATGGGAGCGTGACCAGCCCCAGCCCTGGACCCCCGCCCTGGGCCTACCTGGCTACGCTGGGCCACCGTGAGGATCAGGCGATAGGGGTGGCTGGTGCTCCAGTGAATAAGGTACAGGCCATCCTCGGGCCGCAGTTTGGCCTGCACAAATGGCTCCCTGGAGGGGGGTCCAGAGGGACCATCAGGCCACCTGGGGCCACTGCTGAACCCACACCCAGGAACAATGATACTCATTACCTGCTTAGAGGGCACATACACAGCTAGGATAATTGTCAGACACAGCCACTCTTTTTGAGACAGAGTCTCACTCTGTCACCCAGGCTGGAGTGCAATGGCGCAATCTCGGCTCACAGCCACTCTTCTTTTTGAGACAGAGTCTCACTCTGTCACCTAGGCTGGAGTGCAATGGCGCAATCTCGGCTCACTGCAACCTCTGCCTCCTGGGTTCAAGAGATTCTCTTGCCTCAGCCTCCCGAGTAGCTGGGATTACAGGCGCCTGCCACCATGCCCAGCTAATTTTTTAATTTTTAGTAGAGAGGGGGTCTCACCATGTTAGCCACTCTCAAACTCCTGACCTCCAATGATCCGCCTGCCTCAGCCTCCCAAAGTGCTGGGATTACAGGCGTGAGCTACCGTGCCCGGCTACCTGCTCTCTTTTTTTTTTTTTCTGAGACAGGGTCTTGCTCTGTTGCCCAAGCTGGAGTGCAGTGGCGTGATCTCAGCTCACTTCAGCCTGGACGTCCCAAGCTTAAGCAATTCTCCTACCTCAGCCTCCTGAGGAGCTGGGATTACAGGTGCGCCCGGTTAATTTTTATACTTTCAGTAGTTACAAGGCCTTGCTATGTTGCCCAGGCTGCTCTTGAATTCCTGGGCTCAAGTGATTCTCCCACCTTGGACTCCCAAAATACTAGGATTATAGGCATAAGCCACCACACCCAGCCTATCTCTGCTCTTGTACTTGACACCCTGACAAGGTGACACACACTTTAAGATAAGAAACAGCCATCAGGAGCTGGATCGGCACACACCCAACCATGGCCACCACCACTCACAACGGTGACACATGATGGCTAGCCAGTCACACATGTGAGGGACAACAATCACAGATGCTGCCCGGTGTGACAGGGCCACACGGGGGCCTGAGCATCCAGATGCAAAGGTGACACAAACATGCACTAGCAGGTGTCATGGCTACATGGGCCCAGAAGCCTACATGTGCAGAGGCTGACACACAGATGTGGTGCCTGAACCTCGCTAGGCATGGTGGCTCACGCCTGTAATCCCAGCACTTTGGGAGGCTGACGTGGGCAGATCACAAGGTCAGGAGTTTGAGACCAGTCTGGCCAATACGGTGAAACCCCATCTCTACTAAAAATAAAAAATTAGCTGGGCATGGTGGCTCATGCCTGTAATCCCAGCTCCTTGGGAGGCTGAGGCAGGAGAATTGCTTGAACCTGGGAGGCAGAGGTTGCAGTGCACTGAGATCACGCCACTGTACTCTAGCCTGAGCAACAAGAGTGAAACTCC